GGCCTGCATATCAGCAACCATTCTTGGTATCAGCCGATATGGCTCGTTAATAATCGGCCATCTGTATCGGCCCAAAAAATCTTTATTGCTGCACTTGTATTGAAGATTGGGTCATGAGTATCTTTTAAGGTGGGTGGTCAGAAAGTAGAAGCCAGCTTTGAAAACCTCGGCTTATAGGCATTGGGCATATTCCCCTAAATATCTGTTTCTGAGATCCTTGAAATTTTACCCATGGTCATTCATGTCATTCATGTCAGTCTGTCTTTCATGTAAGACAGACTGGAGGAATATGAACTGACAGAAGAAAATGAGTATGGTTGGGATACTGGCCATCCAGTGCAGGATTCTGGTTAGATGGACCTCTTATAGTGCGTTGGGTATGTACTGGTGGTATAGTGTTTGGTCCTTGTACCCAAGTCTTGCACAAATAATCCTGTGTTAAGATGAGGGTGGGAGAAAGGCAAGGCTCATTTGAGACTGCTCTTGCAAATATCTCTCTTCACACCTCAGAGTGAATGGCAGTTAGAAATTGCCACTTCCCCAGTTGCCCGTTTTTCTTGGCATTTTCTGACCTTTCCCAATTTTACCTGCTACTGCAAACATTTAAACATCTACCTTTTTATGAAAGAAACTGAATTGAAATGCTGCTGAAACAGGTCTCTTTTGAAAGAGTAAATTGGCTCCTGGGATAAAAGGCCAAGGGAAAGGGCCTAGGTAGGTAGCCCATAGATCTTCATTTTTTTTTTTTTTTAATTTAAAAAAAAGGAAAAAAGAATCAGGGAATAGAAAAATCTTCAGTAAATACTGGTGTTTTCCTAGGATGGTGGTTTTCTACCTTTTTTAAGTCATGGCACCCCTCTCCAACTTATCTGAATTCAGCGACGCTCCTGGTTGAGAACCACTGTTGCTGCTGTCCCAGTTTACCTCCGCAGTTCTCAACTGGGTGCTGCTGCCACCAGGTAAAACTGCCTTGTGCACGAGGCACTGGGAAAGGAGAGAGCACTTGTGCCACTGCCCGTCTCATGAGTGTGTTCTGATAGGTCTCTAAAGCGGGCAGGAGAGCCCACTTGTGCTAGAGCTCTTCCTGGTCTGACCCGCACAGCATCTCCCAGAAAGGTGCACGATGTGGATGGAACTGTCCCGTGTGCTCTTGTTTCTGGGAGGAGTGTGTGTGGAACGGGGACTGCTGAGAGGGGGAAAAAAGGGCTGGGGCACAAGCTGGCTTTTCTGCCTGCTTTAGTGTGATCCAAGAACCCAAATAAGAGCGTGCATGTGCCACAGCCCTCCCAGTGTGCAAGACACTTTTACCTGGCTGCTATTGTGGTAGCGGTGGCATCCCTGGAGGGGAAGCAGGGGGTCTCGTAGCACACTGGTTGCGAACTGTTGTACTGGGATCTATTTTTCATAGTGGAAGGATGTTATGTAAAGACCACATCATCTTCTAAAGCAGTGTTCTTTTTGTTTTTTTCTAAAGTGCACACTGAATAGTGCTACATGCACGCTGTTTTACGTTAGATAAAACAGCAGTTTCCATGTTCTTTCTTGTTTTGTATAAAAATTACATTTTTTTTGGCAGAAAAAAATTAAACTTTTGTTTACCTTTTGGAACCTGATTACTCTTTAAATGGACAGTTTTGAAGCAGCAGAGTTTCTGTTTAAATAATAACAGTACCCAATAGCTGCTCCTCCCC